GCCTTGCATCCCTCTGGGGAGAAAGGCGGGATATAAATGAAATAAATAAATAGTTTTGTGAGGCATTTAGCTGTCTCTGTCACAGGCTCTGGTGCCACAATAAACTACAAATCCCAGTATTCCATTGCGCTTAGCTGGGGCAGTTAAAGCAGCTTAAAACTGGATTATTTATGCAGTGTGTTTTGTGCAATCATGATCACAGAGTAACCTTAATAACTTTTTAAGGGGTGGGAGGGTTGGGGCTTGGGGTTGATCTTATTGTATTTTTATGTTGGAAGCCACCCCGATTGTATAAATAAAATTTATAAATAAATAATAATAATAAAGTAGTCTCTGACAATACTGGCTCTTCGGTTTACTAACGGAGATGAGCACCACCCCCTACGGTAAGACACAACTTGACAACCTTGTCAACAGGGAATACCTTTACCTTTACCTTTTTTGGACCATAGTCTAGAATACTTTTATACAAAAGGATATTGTAGCACTTTTGAGACTAACTTCATGCGTCTGAGGAAGCAGACCTAGATCCAAAACACACTACAGAAATAATCCAGTCTGAGACCGCTTTAACTGCCCTGGCTCAATGCTAGGGAATCCTGGGAACTGTAGTTCTGTGAGACAACCTTCTCTGTCAGAGAGATCTGGTACCACAATAAACTAAAATTCCCAGGATTTCCTAGCATTGAGCCAGGGCAGTTGAAGCGGTCTCAAACTGGATTGTTTTTGCAGGGTGTTTTGGACCCTAGTCTATGAAAGTGTATGCTACATCTTTCACTCAAATCTAGCAGCCAAATTTTAACAGAATACAAGGACACAGTGGTGGTGTATGGGGGGGAGGTGGAGTTTTAATAACTAGAAAATAAAGATGACATGCACAAAGTCAGGTTAAAAAAAACCACCTGAATTATCATAGGCAATTTATCGAGATTGCATTTTAGAAAAATGAGGTCTACGCAGCAGCCTGTTCTCGTTGCACATTGGAGGAGCCTTCCAAAGCTTTTCCTAACATTTTCCCACATTGGAGGAGCCTTCCAAAGCTTCCAAAAGCTTTGGAAGGATCCTTCCGCCTTAAGTCCGTTGCCTATGAAGGTGTTATGTTACTGAACCAAAGCCAGCGAGTCAGTCACTAAAAATATACAAGCCAGGAGTCGAGTCGAGTCAGTGTGTCATTATTGCCGAGTTGAGTCCAAGTAGAGTCACTTAAGTGACTTGAGTCCAATTTCTTGCTGTGTGCTTCAAATCGTTTCTGACTCAAGGCAAACCTAAGAGCCAGAGTGGCATAATGGTTTGAGTCTTGGACTTAGACTCTGGAGACCAGGATTCGATTCCCAGCTCAGCCATGAAACCCACTGAGTGACCTTGGGCAAGTCGCACTCTCTCAGCCTCAGGGGAAGGCCATGGCAATCCTTCTCTGAACAAATCTTGTCAAGAAAACCCCATGATTGGGTTGCCTTAGGGTCGCCATTAATCGGAAATGGCTTGAAGGCAAACAACAACAAATAGCTAGTCAGAAACCAAGAAAGGGCCTGTTTCGTGCGGTGGAACACCCTCTGCAGAACAGTTTGCCATGTCTCTAATTTAATATAATCTACCTTTTATTTGTCCAGGCCGTTTATTTTGCTCCACCTCTCTGCTACTGTTTCTGTGTTTTACAGTTTACAGTATGCATACTAAGAATTTGGTTATGTGATAACATTTGTTGTTATAGTTGTTGTGTGCTGTCAAGTCATTTCTGACTTATGGCAACCCTAAGGTGAAGCTAGAATGGGGTTTTCTTGGCAAGATGTTATTTAGAGGAATTTGGCATTGCCTTCCTCTGAAGTTGAGAGTGTGATTTGCTCAAAATTACTCAGTGAGTTTGTATGGCTGAACAGGAAATTGTATGTATGTGTGTGTGTGTGTGTGTGTGTGTGTGTGTATGAATACAGAAAGATTGGGGTAGATGATGGTATTTCATTCATGTAAAGTTATCTGAGTACATGTAATTACATACAAATAAGATGGATACAGGAAGAGAAAAACAAAAAGCCTGTGCAAATCTGCTATGCTCTAGTTTTTATTTGAGTTTTAAAAAGTGTGGCTGCCAATGGACATGTGTTTTCTGTAAAATGTGCATTTATTTTCTTCTCTCTCCCCCTATATTTAATGAAAATTCAGGTTAGCACCTCTTTTATATGACAGTGATAAGGCTGATTTATAGCTAACAATCTAATCAGAGTTGTAGTGGTTTACAGCAGGTCCTTTTTACCAAGCATCTCTTTCTCTGTACCCTGCAGCCTGCTTCAGCACAATATGGTGGGATGTGACTGCCACCTAGTGGAATTTAATGTGTTGTTGCTGTTGTTAACTCCCTTCAGGTCGACTGCGACTTATGGCGACCCTATGAATAAGTCAGGTCGCCCTGTCATCAACAGCCCCGCTCAGATCTTGCAAATTCAAGGCTGTGGCATCGTTGACTGAATCTATCAATCTGTGATGCAGCCCT